CGGTGCACACATCGCTTAAAAGTGATCTCATAAACCATCTGTGGATGCACCATGGAAATGGAATGTAGTTTATTTGCTTCCCCTAAATATTTATGTGTTTTCTTAATCTAGTTGTGTTTCATGTATTTCATTTACTAGTGTTAACTTCGTAGTTGTACTGTTTATGTTTTTCCGAAAAACTTTATGTATTTCTGGAACTTTTATGTGTCTTAATAAAATATTCGCGTTTGTGTAAATTACTTCTATCTTTTTAGAATATTACTTAATAATGTGACAAACTTATAAGTCACTAAAATAAATTTAATTTAAATAAAAATAAACGTGAACATTAAATAAACACACATAATTAAAATAATAACACATTGAATAAATTAAAATAACAAAACATGGAATTTAAAAGTGAAACATATGTGAAATTCAACTTACAACACAATACAAAATAAAAACAACAAAACATAATAACTAGAAATCAAAGTGGGGACGGTACACTTCTTCTGCAGGAGTGTCGGGAACATCACTTGAGGAATTTTGAGAATACCCCATTATTTCATCTTGTTTTTGCTTAATCCACCTTTGCTTCCTCGGTGAAAACTTTGAAAGGTCCGCAGCTAGTAAGTCATACTGGTTTCTCGTAATCTCCGACTCTACGGCTTTGTGTTGAAGCTCATCACGCTTAGCTCTTCTTGAAGCTTGTTCTCTGCCTTGCTCAATCATTTCTTGTAAACATTGCGTCATCATTGGATCTAACTTGGACACCTTTGCCTTTCCACTTCTTTTGGCCTTTTGCTTGTCCCGGCCTTCAGGACGTTGAAGTGGCTCTCCATCCGAGGGAGAGCTAGCACTACCTCCGAGTGTGGGCGAATCGTGCGATTGTGGAGACGATATTGGCCGGGAGAAGGATACCGGAGCTTCGTATTGTTGGTACCACTTCGGACACACTTGGAGGACACGCCACGCATGCTCAAATTTGAATGTCTTGCCATTGTTATCATTCATGAAAATGTCTTTGGCTTGAAAGTTCTATAATATAATAATAATAATAAAGGAGTAAAGTACATAGTAATATAATTAAATGTTTTAATTACATAGTTATATGTATATTGTGAATATAACTAATATAACTAATATACACTAATATAACGAATATATATACTAATATAACCAATATAACTTATATATATATATATAGTAATATAACTAATATTATACGAATATATATACTAATATTATATATGTACTAAAATAACTAATATATATTACTAATATATATATATATATATATATATATATGTAGGAAAAATGTGTGAAAAATTGCATTAAATGGCTATTTTGGGGCAATTTTTTGAGTGGGGTCCACTTCTGATTTGGGTCGGGTGAAATTGGTTTCGGATTGTCCTTGTTAAGGGCTACAATTCGATATGTGGTACACTCAAAACGGATAACGGGTGAATGAGATATCGATTTTCGAAGTTTACCCGTTGAAATGGAGCAGCAGCCGGCTGCTCCAGCAGCCCACTGCCGGCAGGACAGTCCGCAGCAGCCTGCTGCCGGCAGGACAGTCCGCAGCAGCCTGGTGCTGAGACATCTTCCACATCCTGCTGCTGAGACGTCTTCCGAAACACACCCAACAATATATATATTGGGTGCAACGAGTTGCACCCTAAACACACCCGGCAGGACAGTTGCACCCTAAACACACCCGAAACACACCCGGCAGGACAGTTGCACATTAAGGTGCAACGAGTTGCACCCTAAAAAGTTGGGTTTTATTACAAAAATGCCACCTTGCCTTTATGTCCTTTGGATCAACTCATCGGACGGTCAAGATGAGTTTGTACTTTGTAAATTAAGAAGACTTTGTATTTGATCTCTATTCTATATATATATATATATATATATATATATGATTTAGGTTCATGTGAGAACTTAATCTTAGGAGAGCAAAAAAGAATTGATCACAACCATTGGATTAACAATGTTTTTCAAACTACCGTGTACATGTCTAAATGGCCTTAATAGTCATTTCATCTATGCATTAATTAGCCTTAAAACTAACCTCCGGAATTGTGGGCACTACTATGTCCATTTGGTAATTGTTAGTACCGTAGTACATTAAGTATTTCCTTTTCAGTTTTCATATATTTATTAATTATTTCTTTCTCTTATTTTGTGTTTAGTGTCCTTTAATTTTTTGACGTGTTATTATATTATTTTTATTTTTCTTCAACGCTATGGAACTACTCTCTTTTTACCCAATGGAATGCTCTTTAGTAAGTAGTAATTTTTTAAAAATATACTTTTTTTAAAGTAGTATATATTATTTTACTTTGTGACAATATATATTTCTAAAATATTTATTTTCTTCAACTCTTTAATTATATTAAAAAGTATATATATAAGTGCACTAAACTAAACATTTAAAGTGCATGGTGTTGACTTTTTTTATTATGCACTTTTAAAGTGTACAATGTGCACGGTGTATCATTTTTAGTGCAACTTAATGTTCAAAAATGTAACATTCAAAATAAAGTGCATACCATTTAAATAAAAGTTTGTCCACTTAATAAATAAAATATTATAGGAAAAGTTAATTTTAATTATTTCACTCGTAAGTGCATGCATAATACATTAACTAAAAAGTGCAACTACGTAATAAAAAAGTGCATGCTCATCTAAAATCTAAAAGTGCATAATAGATTAAATAAAAAGTGCAACTGCCTAATAAATAAGTACATGCTCATCTAAATTGCACTTGTGCGTACATATAGTGCACATAATAATTTAGAAACTATAAATCAACCCTCTGACCTATTTGTTATAAAATAAACGAAATTTTAAAATGGAAAAGCAATCATTGAAGATAAACGCACTAATGGCTTTTTTAATTATGGGCATGGCTCTTTACAGAAATATCCCTAATGGTAGTTTCGAATTAGAATAGTATAACTCATCATTAATGCTTTCCATTAATGATTCTAAAGAATGTCTTATACGTGTGTACGTTTATCATCGTCCGATTGGTTATGTGAATGGCTAGATTTTATTCTTTTTACCTCTCCTGAGACTTCTTTCTCACCGGATATATATAGGGCTCTTCTCATCAGGCCGGCCTGACGGGCTGCCCCGTCCGGCCGAGCCCGTTTGGGCACCTTCCCGGTGGAATTTTTTGATGAAATTTTTTGAGCATGTTCCTCATCAAGTCTAGTTTGTCCATACCAAATTTCAGCTCAAAATTCGATCGGGAAGGTCGTCAAATAATTTTTGCAAGTTAACTGGTCCGGAATATGTATATTCCGGAATATGTATATTCCGGACCAGTTAACTTGCAAAAATCATTTGACGACCTTCCCGATCGAATTTTGAGCTGAAATTTGGTATGGACAAACTAGACTTGATGAGGAACATGCTCAAAAAATTTCATCAAAAAATTCCACCGGGAAGGTGCCCAAACGGGCTCGGTCGGACGGGGCAGCCCGTCAGGCCGGCCTGACATGAAGTTTCCTCTCTCTCTCTCTCTCTCTCTCTCTCTCTCTATATATATATATATATATATATATATATATATATATATACTAATATAACTAATATATATATAATATACTAACATAACTAATATATATATATATATATATAATATACTAATAAAACTAATATATATTACGAATATATATATATATTATATATACTAATATTATACTAATATTATACGAATATATATAAATGCTTTAATTACATAGTTATGTATACACTAAATATTATACGAATATATACTAATATACTCTAAAATATTAATATAGTTATATATATTTCAAAAATATATTAGTATATACTTTATGAATTAAAATCAAATAATAGAGTAGTTTAGAAATTACCAAATCGTCTAGGTTTGACCCACTCCTCGGAGTTGCGTTCGCTTTCCGCACACAACCTTTCCATTGAGAACATTGATTATTGATGATCTTGAAACGAGACTCAATTGCATCTCGAGTTCGAGGAATTTGACTTTGTGCCGAAAATATCTCGTGAATTCGGCCCCAGAAAGTCTCCCCCGGTTGATTTATTCCAATGGCACCATCTTCAGATATGGTGACCCAAGCATTACATAGAACAACATCCTCTTTAGCATTCCAATTAACACCCCTTTTTGAGGAAGACATAACAAAATTGTAGTGAAAAAATATGATGAAGAATGAGAGATATGGAAGATGTGTGATTAAAATAAGAAGGAATGAGGTGTTTATATAGGATTTTCGAGCAAAATATCAATTAAAAATAATAGAAAAATAAAATAAATTATTTCAACCGTTGGATTTAAATTTCAGCCGTTGGATCATTTTTTTTCCCGTTCAAACAGTGTCAAGTTCATCACAACCGTTGGATCTACCAAATTTTTTTTATACAAACAATTGAGCCGTTGGTAGTGCATGGTGCCTCATGCTGACATCAACATGATGTCAGCGAGGCAAATAATTCCCCTGGCAAGCCTTCTGCTCCCGTCTGCGCACAACAGGTATGCCCCCACTCCCCTTTTTCTTTTCTTTTCCATTTAATTTTTGGCTGTCTAAAGTTCCTCCAAACTTAACCCCTTCCCTCCCCAAACCCATTTTTAATACCCTCCACACTCAACCAATGTAAGAAATTAGGAGTCTAAAAATGTCATTTTAACATTTTAGACTCTTAAGACCAAATGGAGTGGTGAGGTATTAGGAGTCTAAAATGTTAAAATGGCATTTTTAGACTCCTAATTTCTTACATTGGTTGAGTGTGGAGGGTATTAAAAATGGGTTTGGGGAGGGAAGGGGTTAAGTTTGGAGGAATTTTAGACAGCCAAAAATTAAATGGAAAAGAAAAGAAAAAGGGGAGTGGGGGCATACCTGTTGTGCGCAGACGGGAGCAGAAGGCTTGCCAGGGGAATTATTTGCCTCGCTGACATCATGTTGATGTCAGCATGAGGCACCATGCACTACCAACGGCTCAATTGTTTGTATAAAAAAAAATTTGGTAGATCCAACGGTTGTGATGAACTTGACACTGTTTGAACGGGAAAAAAAATGATCCAACGGCTGAAATTTAAATCCAACGGTTGAAATAATTTATTTTATTTTTCTATTATTTTTAATTGATATTTTGCTCGAAAATCCTATATAAACACCTCATTCCTTCTTATTTTAATCACACATCTTCCATATCTCTCATTCTTCATCATATTTTTTCACTACAATTTTGTTATGTCTTCCTCAAAAAGGGGTGTTAATTGGAATGCTAAAGAGGATGTTGTTCTATGTAATGCTTGGGTCACCATATCTGAAGATGGTGCCATTGGAATAAATCAACCGGGGGAGACTTTCTGGGGCCGAATTCACGAGATATTTTCGGCACAAAGTCAAATTCCTCGAACTCGAGATGCAATTGAGTCTCGTTTCAAGATCATCAATAATCAATGTTCTCAATGGAAAGGTTGTGTGCGGAAAGCGAACGCAACTCCGAGGAGTGGGTCAAACCTAGACGATTTGGTAATTTCTAAACTACTCTATTATTTGATTTTAATTCATAAAGTATATACTAATATATTTTTGAAATATATATAACTATATTAATATTTTAGAGTATATTAGTATATATTCGTATAATATTTAGTGTATATATAACTATGTAATTAAAGCATTTATATATATTCGTATAATATTAGTATAATATTAGTATATATAATATATATATATATTCGTAATATATATTAGTTTTATTAGTATATTATATATATATATTAGTTATGCTAGTATATTATATATATATATTAGTTATATTAGTATATATATATATATATATATATATAGAGGAAACTTCATGTCAGGCCGGCCTGACGGGCTGCCCCGTCCGGCCGAGCCCGTTTGGGCACCTTCCCGGTGGAATATTTTGATGAAATTTTTTGAGCATGTTCCTCATCAAGTCTAGTTTGTCCATACCAAATTTCAGCTCAAAATTCGATCGGGAAGGTCGTCAACGCCCGTTAAAAAATTTGAAGCATTTCAACTAATTTGAGATCAATAACTGCAAGTACCAAATGAACATAGGAAAAAATGACACCAAAAATAATAAAATACTGACCGTCATCACTGAGTTGCCTAGGCGTTCCAAAGGATTGCGCCATGCTAGGTTGACTCGCCTGAACTCTCTTTGCCGTACAGCGAGTCTGCGACTGAACCTTATGCAAGTGGAAAGAAACGAATGAAGTAGAAGAAAATTATGCAGAAGGGGGAAATTTACCATGGAGGCTCAATTCAGTTTACATCTTGTAGGGAATTTCCACTTACTGGATTCATATGGTTTAAGAAAATCAACACAACCTTCCGGCCTTCAACAAGATAGATATCTTCAAGATCGGGAACTGTGGCAGCTTTGGTCCTATTCGCGTTGGAGAAGAGAACCCTAGGTTCTCAAATTTTGGAGAAAACTAAGAATAGCGGAAGAGAAGAGAGATGGTGAGGTGTCGATTGCGAGCGGGGAGTGTAGGCAAATGACCGTGGATAGAGGGCCGTTTCTTTCTTAAGCACAAAAACAAGGGGCTCCGTTTGTACAGTGAGCGTATTTTAACGGGCGTTGACTCACTTAACATCCTTCCACATATTATATATATGGTAGATATATATATATATATATATATATATATATATATATATATGGGATAAGGGTCAGATAGGGTCTCGAACTCGAAAAAAAATGTCAAATAAGGTCATATTTCGGATGCTCTGTCTTGCCGACGCCATTTGGGGCGGTTCCCGATGGAATTTTTTGATGAAATTTTTTGAGCATCTTCCTCATTAAGTCTAGTTTACCCATACCAAATTTCAGCTAAAAATTCAACCGGGAAGGTAGTCAAATAATTTTCCGAAATGTACGGCGTTGTTTAACTTCACAGTTATCTTCAAAAACTCATTTGACTACCTTCCCGGTTGAGTTTTTAGCTGAAATTTGGTATGGGTAAACTAGACTTAATTAGGAAGATGCTCAAAAAATTTTATCAAAAAATTCCATCAGGAACCGCCCCAAATGGCGTCGGCCAGACAGAGCATCCGAAATATGACCTTATTTGACATTTTTTTTCGAGTTCGAGGCCCTATCTGACCCTTATCCCTATATATATATATATATATTGTTGGGTGTGTTTCGGAAGACGTCTCAGCAGCAGGCTGTGGAAGATGTCTCAGCACCAGGCTGCTGCGGACTGTCCTGCCGGCAGCAGGCTGCTGCGGACTGTCCTGCCGGCAGTGGGCTGCTGGAGCAGCCGGCTGCTGCTCCATTTCAACGGGTAAACTTCGAAAATCGATATCTCATTCACCCGTTATCCGTTTTGAGTGTACCACATATCGAATTGTAGCCCTTAACAAGGACAATCCGAAACCAATTTCACCCGACCCAAATCGGAAGTGGACCCCACTCAAAAAATTGCCCCAAAATAGCCATTTAATGCAATTTTTCACACATTTTTCCTACATATATATATATATATATATTAGTAATATATATTAGTTATTTTAGTACATATATAATATTAGTATATATATTCGTATAATATTAGTTATAGAGAAACTTTCATATCCGAACTTCCGTATACTTAAAAAACGGAACAAACCTTCCAAGCCCGTCAGATTAGATTAACGGTGCAGATTAAATAAGGATGAAACAGTGCTTGGGTTTATTTTCTCTGACTCACTATTCCTTGCACCGGACTTTCTCTTCGTTTGTACTTTTCTCTTCTCCAAAATTTTCTTTCCCTCGTTTTTTCTATAGCTTTTCTTTTTCTCTTTCAAGGTTTCTCCTTTCATAAACCAGAGGTACAGTACAGAGAGTAACCTCTTTCTCCTCGAGTGGACCATTAACAAGCGCTTTCTCAACTCTTCTTCCAAGTTCCTCCTGGTAACAAGTGAGCTATAGTTTATTCTATATAAATCTGGTATCTATTGACACCGAAATGAAGAGTCCTTGTATTCTAATTAATTTCAGTTTTTCTTCTTTATATATTATTATTACTGGTATGTTATTTAAAAATGTAATTTTCTTATCCTTATTTTGATTCAGTAAACTATGGAAGATTTGTGTTTTGATGCTGCAACTGATATTATTCCAAATGCCCCTTCTGATAAAAAACCGCATGTTGGGATGAGGTTTGAAAATATAGAGGATGCTTATGATTTCTACAATGCTTATGCTAAACATGTTGGGTTTAGTGTTCGCCTAGAGTCAGTGAAAAAAGACACCAATGGGGTCGTAAAATCAAGAGTTTATACATGTAATAAACAGGGTTTTGAAAGAAACCCAATGCATGATATACAAAATGAAAGGTGTAGCACTAGCACACGCACGGGTTGTCTCGCAATGCTTGGTGTTGTGAAAAGAAAAAAAAGTGAGGTTTTCGAAGTATATGGATTTGAGGAGGCTCATAATCACTTGTGTGTAACACCAAGCAAAGTGCATATGCTCAAGTCCCATCGCAAAGTGTCTGATGCGAAGAAAAAACTCTTTTCTACACTGCAATCCAATAACATCTCCATCCCTCAAGCAATGGGAATATTCACTTCGGAATCTAGGGGTCTTGATGACATAGGTTTTGTGGAAACGGACTTGCGGAACCATGTTCGGAATGAAAGGCAGAAGGTAAAAGGAAAGGATGCGCAGATGTTCGTGGAACACTTCTTGTCAGAGAAGGAATACAACCCATCTTTCTTTTATAAAATCAAAACAGACGATGATAAGAAAATCGAGCTGGCGTTTTGGGCAGACCCTACATGCAGGCGTTCATATCATTTTTTTGGTGATGTGGTTACTGTTGACTCTACATATAACACCAACTCATATGGGTTTCCATTCACACCTTTTGTTGGTGTTAACCACCACTTTCAGTCTATCTTGTTTGGATGTGCATTTATGCACAAAGAGACATTTGAATCATATTTATGGGTATTAGAGGCATTCTTGGAAGCCATGCCGGGACCACCCCCGAGTGTGATGATTACGGACCAAGATCCTGCTTTGGGCAAAGCAATTGGCCACCTTCTTCCAATGACTTATCACAGGTTGAATGCATTTATTTTTGGTGTATTATTACATGGCTACTTTGAGGTAATATGATATGGGATAATAACTCTTAAGAAAATTGCCAAATCTGCCAAGCAGGAGAAGCTCCTCCGGGTGGTTTCCGATGATCTTCTTAAAGGAAGTAACAATGTGTAGTTTCTGGTTTTATATATATAGGTAGTTTTATAATTAGTTATTAAATAACTTTATTTACTAACTACACACTCTTCAAATAATGCAGGTTTTGCATATGGCATGTGTTAAGCAAGATACCCGAAAAAGCCGGGCATCCAATTAACTCTCTTCCAACCTTTGGCAAAATTTTCCATGTTATTAAACACTCACAAACAGCTGAAGAATTTGAAGAACAATGGGCAAATGTCATAGTGGAAAATGGTCTCCAAGATAATGGGTGGATGTCTTACATGTTTGAGCTTCGTGAACAATGGGTTCCTGCTTATTTCAAGAACTTCTTTTCAGCCGGCATGTCCTCAACACAACGAAGTGAAACAACTCATTCTTTTCTAAAGAAATTTGTATACAAAGGGTGTGGTTTCAATGAGTTTGTAACTAGATTTGATAGAGCTCTTTCACGACAGCGTGAACGGGAGAACCAATCTAATCATGAGGATAGGAATGGAAGGCCTAAGTGGCAATATGGGACAGAGGCAGAGGTACAACTCGCCAACTTATATACACGTGCAATGTTTCGTGAGTTCCAGTCGGAACTTCATAGGTGTTTCACGTACTCCCTAGAGTTACATAAGGAAGAATGTGATCACATGATTTACAGTTTAGAGTTTAAAGGAGTGTCCAGTGAGACATCGGTGAAGATGCATAGGGAAGTACATTTCATTCGGGAAACACAGATTGCTAGTTGTTCATGTAAGAAATTTGAATTCTTAGGAGTACCTTGCGCCCATATACTAAGGGTGTTAGATACCTTGAAAATTTATGAACTTCCTAAGTTTTACATACTTGATAGATGGAAGAAGGGATCAAGAAGGGGAAATGTTAAAGACTACTCCGGTGTTGAGATAAAAGAAGATCATAGAAGAACCTTGCATGGGGGTAATGGTAAAGCGTTGGACGCTTTTCTGAGTGGTTACTACGAACTCATTGATGAGTCACCAGAAGATCAGGAAATTGGGCTCAAACTACTAGAAGAATGGCGCATAAAGTTCAAGCAACTATTAGCAAATAAGACAAGTGATGAGCGAATGAAAAGGAAAGACTTTGAGGGATCATGTTCGATAGAAGTCCTTGAACCAGATCATGCCAGACATAAAGGATGTGGGAAACGTTTAAAGTCGGGTTTGGAAAAATCTACATCGCTTAACCGTATTTGCAGCGTTTGTAAGGGATCCGGCCATGACAAACGGAACTGCCCCAAAAGTAGTAAAAGGGGATTAATATATTAGATACCTCTTTTTTTGTTTACTTTGCTAATGTTTTGTCAAACAAGATATTATGTTCTGTTATGTTCTATAATTCTATTATTCTGTTTTATTATGTTGAACTGTTGAACTATGTGTTTCTATTATGTTTTGAAAGAGCATGGTATTAGAGTTTTCATTTTGTTGGTAAAGTTATGTATATCACAGCTTTCATTTTTTATTCATGGTTTACAATATGTATTGTAATTGCTTGTTAAGAACAGCCAAATGTATTGTAATAACCAAATGTATGGCTTGAAAAGAAATTCAGCTTCTAGGTGCATTCATTTTTAATGAAAAAACATGAATCTTAAATATTGCAGATGCTCTGTTATTTCAATTACATTGCAGCTAAAATATTGAATCTACTAGACAGCTCAAACAAAGCTTTCAAAAAATGCATTGCAGACAAAATTTCAATCATAAGATTTAATAATTGATACGGAGTACATTACAACAAAACTTTCAAACATTGCTGCCAGAATACAATATGTTGAAACAGAACTATAGAATTGTTTCATTTCAACTACTTTTCAGTCTTACAACATTAATTTCTTGTCAAAGTATGTAATTAGCAAACTCCCTACACATATCTAATGTTAAAGCCCTTATTATTTGTCTTGAATAAAGACTGCTTTTCACAAATGCTTCCATGGTGTGCCTCTCCTGAGCAATATGGGTGAAACTCTTCTTCAATGATTTGAGCTTTTCTACCAAATCTTCATTTTCTTCCCCCAATTTATTTATCTTTTTGAGAGAATCAGAAATATGCGTGAAATGGTCTTCCAACCACATTTGGGGATCAAACCAGTCCCACATGCCTGATGATTGACCTGTCAATAAACATATTTACCATTAAGAAGCTGTTATCAAGATAAAAGCAAAGCACATGTCATAACACCCTAATTAAAACACATAAATCGTAAGAAAAAGGACTGCACTGCAATCAATTCATAGCAGCGAAACAAATTCAACACAGTGCAATAAAAGAAAAAAAAGAGTAAGAAAATGAAGAGAGACGATTTCGGTGTGTAGTCGCAGATCTGGACGGAGAAGAAAAAATGATGAGAATGGCGAACATCAATTTGAGGAGGTGCTAAGTGAGGTCTGAAAAATGGAGAACGATGAGATAAATAGGATGAGAAAATAAAGGGTTTTAAAATGTAATCACCACCGTTAATCTAATCTAACGGGCAGGGACAGTTTGTTCCGTTTTTAAAGTATACGGAAGTTCGGATATGAAAGTTTCTCATTAGTTATATTACTATATATATATATATATATAAGTTATATTGGTTATATCTACTATATATATAATATGTGGAAGGATGTTAAGTGAGTCAACGCCCGTTAAAATACGCTCACTGTACAAATGGAGCCCCTTGTTTTTGTGCTTAAGAAAGAAACGACCCTCTATCCACGGTCATTTGCCTACACTCCCCGCTCGCAATCGACACCTCACCATCTCTCTTCTCTTCCGCTATTCTTAGTTTTCTCCAAAATTTGAGAACCTAGGGTTCTCTTCTCCAACGCGAATAGGACCAAAGCTGCCACAGTTCCCGATCTTGAAGATATCTATCTTGTTGAAGGCCGGAAGGTTGTGTTGATTTTCTTAAACCATATGAATCCAGTAAGTGGAAATTCCCTACAAGATGTAAACTGAATTGAGCCTCCATGGTAAATTTCCCCCTTCTGCATAATTTTCTTCTACTTCATTCGTTTCTTTCCACTTGCATAAGGTTCAGTCGCAGACTCGCTGTACGGCAAAGAGAGTTCAGGCGAGTCAACCTAGCATGGCGCAATCCTTTGGAACGCCTAGGCAACTCAGTGATGACGGTCAGTATTTTATTATTTTTGGTGTCATTTTTTCCTATGTTCATTTGGTACTTGCAGTTATTGATCTCAAATTAGTTGAAATGCTTCAAATTTTTTGAAGGTGGAAGGATGTTAGCAGATACAATTCTCCAATTTGCATATAGGAGAATTTGACGTTTTGGAATTTGAATTTGACATTTGGACATTCTCCAACTCATTTATGATATTTGCTCACCTCTCTGCAGTAAACGGACTCCAAATATACATTTAGCACTACATGTGCATGCACAGACACCTCCTAGACACACATACCGGACCGGTAAGAGATATCAAGTTCGAAGATGGTGCAATCAAAGCCGCAGATTTGAAGAAGGTCAGAATGATTTCTATTCAAGCTTTAAAAATCTCAGCTTTGGTTGTTACAGTTGGAGACCTGAACTTGATATCTCTTACCAGTCCATTATGTTTGATGGTTTAAGTTATTGTCTCTTGTATCCTAGCTCATTTGGTGTGTAAAAATATTTGCAAATGAGTAAAGTGTGGGTATGTAAAAATTAATTCGTACTCTAATTTCAGTCATTTAGTAGAAAAGAGGTGGGGGAAGGTTAAAATTTGTAATTTTAATCACACATCCAAGCTATTGTTTTGAATATTGTTAAGGAAACAAGAAATATAATGATTTTGGTATAGGATCTATTCACATTTAATGATTTATGATATGCAATTCATTTGCAGATAACAACATGAAAGAATGATAAGGGTTTCAAGCTGTATGATTTGGACTACCTCAATACAGCTCCAGTACGGTCATCCATATCCTTTATAGATAGTGATGCAGGGATTCTTAGATATAGGGGTTACCTAATTAAAGAATTGGCTGAGAAAAGTTTCTTCTTGGAAGTGGCTTATCTATTGTGTAAGTACTTTGGTTGTATATTGGGACTCTTTAAACTTTAGAAACTATTTTACTACTACGTATAATATGTGTCAGTTATGCCTCACTTATTCTTAAAGAAAATTGGTTGCTTCGTTTGGTTTTTGTATTTTCAGTGTACAGTAATTTACCAGCTGAGAATCAATTAGTAGACTGGGAGTTGCTGTTTCCCAGCATTCAGCTGTACCTGAAGGAATCTTGGTACACTTCTTCCCATCTTTTTTTCCCATCTATGTGAACACCTATGTCATGTTTTGTAATACCCTGCAGCCTGGGAATATTCATACGATGATATGATTTGAGGACATCTTTTGCATTCATGGCTTATCTTTCTTAATTATATGACTGCCTTATTCATCATATCATTTTTTTCCTTATCTTTCTTAATTATTTGACTTTAAAAAAAACCATCTGTGATATATGAGCACTCAATAATCAGACATTTTGTTTGGGAAGATATCTGAATTGCAGAAAATTGACTGAGTTTGATGATGAAAAAGAAGTAATGGACTGTTCGTTTGGGCCAAAAGGCCAGTGCAAAAAGGGAAGTGCTTCAGATTACATGTATATGGAGGTGCTACTCTTTCTCGTTCAAATTTGAAGTGGCAATTTGTGTAGTGTATTCCATATTTGCAGCCAATTAGATTTATCCGTTGATGATTTGCAACCAATTTGGTATGATTTTTTTGTTTTAGATGGTTCATTTTATATTCAAACACAATTTTCTCTCAGTCCTCCTTGAATGTTTTCTCCAGTTGCTATTTTAAATTGCTTTTAATTTGCAAGCCCATAGGGCCTTTTAAAGGTTTGCCTGTTTTTTCTTCTCTTTTAGTTTGTGCTTGCAATAAGTTAACATGTCATTTGCACAGATATGAAGCGAGCAAGCAAAGGCTTGATAGGACAATCCTAATCTTTTTACAGAACTTCATAAAGTCTTATATAGGCGATGAGGCTATACATTCGTCAAAGGTAATATAAATCTTCAGTCTTCACAATGTAGGCATGTAGCTAAATTATAAGGCCAAATGAGTATGTACTTCAATGCAGTCTGTTTCTACTGCATCAATTGTATGCCCAATTGTCTGAGCTTCTTGGACTCCATGATCATCTTTCAATATTAGATTTCTTTATCCAAAAACTTGCAACAAACCTCAGGTGTTATGCATGGGCTATTCTCCTTGATCTCGTATCTTCCTCTTATCATTTTCAGTAGTTTATATTGCATCTTATTCTGCTCTAACATTCAGAATGAAGAACTCATTGATCATAATTTGCGCTTGTTGATAGAGCTGGCCTCTGGGTTAGTCTGATTTTATAAAGTTTTGAACTTTTCTATAGTACACCTCAAATATTCTAACCTGCGTGAGGGTCTCCATTTTGTTTGCAGTTACATGACCCAAAAGTTACTTCTCCAGTTGGACACCGTTAAGTTTATATGGCACATCCTATGGTCGATATATGCTCTTGATTTTTTCTAATTTTAAAATAGTTAGTCACCTAATAGTCATTTATTTTCAAAAGATAAGAGATAGATAATTTGTTAAGCACAAAAAAACCTATTAAAAGTCATATTATGTTCATTGTTTTTATCATACATTTGTCATTTTTTTCCTAATGGGAATGGAAATGAAATAATAATACCAACATAAATGAAAGAATGCACACCATGGCCTTGATCTTTGAATAAAACGAGCTTGTGAAATGAAGTTTGTCTTCATCCTAATTGTGTGCATGAGACCCTGAATCACCTCACTCAGAAATGGTCGAAACCATACTTTGATTCACTCTTCTATCATTTTTTTTTAGTCAGGTGTGAGGGTGTCAGGGTAGGTGATTCCACATTTTTGGATTGAATATAATATCTCTAATAGATAACATGTTTTCTATAAAACTATGTTATTAAGCCATTAAAGGGATCCCGCATGACTTCTTTTATATGTTTACATCGTTTCAGGTGGTCACAATCTTCTAAAGCAAGGCTTCGTCTGCAATCACAGGTTAGAAGATGATGAGATATAGGCTCTAAATGATTTTACATTGGAGCCTCTTGGATGAGAAAGTTTGACTATTAATATTTAGCAAAAAAAGGAGTCAAATGGCATTTTTCCTGTACCATTGCATGCTTTGATCTCTTTCTCACGAGGTGTTAAGGGCAGACGTACAAGATCTCGTCCAAGGACGAGAACAAGAGACTGGCAGGGAACAAGAACTTAAAGAATTCTGAAATTGGGAATCAATGATGAACGTATTAATTGGAAGAATTAAAAGAAAGCTTAGTGGAGTTAATCTGATCTTGGAAGTATTCCAGAGATCCAAAAATTAATTCTCCAAGATGTTTATTGAATAATACTAATGACCCTTATATAGCTATTACAAGAGTCCTAATTCTAAAAGGAAATAAATGCTAATTAAGAAGTTGCCTAAAACATAATAGGAATAATTATTGAAAAGAGAAAAGCTTATTAAGAAGTTGTTGAATAGGAAGCTAGAAATAATTAGAGAAAGAGATAAATGCTAATTAGGAAGCTACAGATTAGGAAGCTTCCTAAAACTGCCAGATCACATATTTCTTTCTCAGCCACTTTGGATTCCAGAATCATCCTTCCTGATCATCCGATTTCTACGTTGATATTTCCAACCATAGAATTGGTCTGTAACAAGAGGGTTGCTTTTTGTGAAAGTAAAAGTTAATACTTGTGTCCGTGTAATATCTGTCATTAAATGCTTGCATGTTGGATGCTGTAGGTAATGAAACATTTTCAGCAAGAAAATGTTGCATGTCTAAGTCGTCCCTAAGAAAATACATTAAAAAATATACAAATTTTCTCATGAGGTTTGCTTTCTGTCATTAACAGGTGAAAGAACAGGGGTGAAGAGACAATTTGATGGATTATTGTTGGATGCTGCTGGACACTCTTACAGTTGGCTAAGTGTGTTGAAGAGACCTATGCAGCTATTGGAAAAAACTAAGGTTTGGTTCATCTTTTTACTCTTCCGGAATTATGTTATAGGTAATAATTATTTTTTCCTTCAAATGGGGAAAAAATGGAAAACTGTGCATTTACTTTTGCTTTCAATGGAAAAGATTTTAAATTTATCTAACGATTCTGTAGGAGTCTTAGTTATTAATGAGGGATATTGTACCTTGAAGTTTAGACATGGTCTAATGTTGCTTTAGTTACATGTACAACCTAAGTTATATTTAAACCTGTGAACCTGTCCTTGTATTTGTGGTCATGTGGACAACTAACATTTGCTTGAGAGGCTCTAATATCATTGTAATGGCCAACAGATTGGGAGCATATATATATATATATATATATATATATATTTGTGTGTGTGTGTGTCTTTTAATTTGGTTTAGGATTTCTCATGTAACTTGCACACCGTGTCAAATAAATATAACAGGTCTTTCCACCCAATCCGTTGTGATAAAGAAAGGTTTCAAAAGAGCCTTTTCTGCCTCATGGGCTAAGGAGCTACGGTATTAGGTTTGATCATGTCGTAAAACATAACATCCTTCAAAGGGTATGTTTTGGAAATGGTGATTTCGAAAGGAATGGATGGGAAGTTGTTTTTATTCATTCATTTCGAGAAAGTAGTGTTTTTAATTTTACCTTTTTCTTCCAAATAAAAGTTGTTGAGTATTCATGTTTACTTCCCATTTCTAATTCATGGGTTCATTTAGATTAGTTTTTATATAAAAATCTTAAAACTTGTGACTTCACCTTTGCCTTTTGTTGCTACAACTATTCTCTACTACTTAGATTTTTTTGCTATTTATTGACAATTTTAATGTCATTATTGGAAAATGTGGTTGCTCAATGTTAATCTTGACTCTTGAATACCCTACAGGGATGATATTTTTATCATCTTCTTTGTTTCTTATTTGAATAAACAACTTGTTTTATTATAATTTCTAATTCATTTGTTTGGAGTTTGTTTAGGTGTAACCTGTCACTTGATTTATTATATGATTTTCGTACTCAAGGTGGTCTAGCATGGGTGCTTGAATTTATCAACTTCAGAGAACGCGGTTGTTCTAAAGTGACTTCTTAAGGTATAATATGTTCTTTCAGTATTTGACGTTTTCCCTTTAATGATAGAATCATGACATCTGCTTTGAGCATATGATTATAATATGTCAAGATACACCTTTTGGTTGACAACTATTAATTCCTATTAATGTGATTTCTTTAATCATATCAGAATGTTTGTTATGAGAGTATTACAGAAGGTACTTGAAAAATGCTTCAGTCAACTATATGCTCATTTTGGGACTGATTAACTCATGCTTGGTAAGGTTATTAGGTTGAAATAGCCGAGTTTTGTAAAAGGAAACAATTTTATTACTTTATATCTATTTCATCAAACAAGTAAAAAGAACTATGTATTTTGTAGATGAGCAGATTAGCGAAATAAGCCACTTTTGGCTACCAGATGGAGCCTTGGATATGATTAACTGACACTACTGGTCAAATGTTGTAGGAAGTTATTCTTGTGGAAGCCCTGAAACTCAATGATATTGAACTTGGGCTGTATAATGTCCATTGCTAACCATTGCAGATGCTTGGTGCTGAGGGCTCACCCATCAGATGCATTCTTATAAAGTGATAAAAAATGAAAAATGCTCAATTCTAACTGTTGATACTGTGGTAAGTCACACCCGATTCTTTGATTTGGGAGTATATTTAACATTTTTCTGTTTCTTCTAATTTTTATTGTTCAGTTAATTAGCAGAAAAGCTTACCATAGATTTCCGAATTAATAGTTTGCATTAGTTTTAATCTGTGATTGTTTAGGTAATTAGGGTTTTGTAAGAAGAAAGGATTGCCCAGCTGACCATATTTATATTGGCACAATTGCAGACGCCCAACCACAAAAGATTCTATTTTGTGTGGAATCGAAACTGTGGAATCAGTATTTTGAGATGGAGTCTGGAATCGAACTGTTGAGAATCTCATATTTAGTTTTTCTTTCTTTTTGTTGTGGAAGCATGATATTATTAGATTCTAAGTGATTCAGGACATTGACGTATGAACCCATAATGACTATATATATAGCCATTGTGCTAATATTTTCTACGCTTCTGATACCTTAGAGTGTATTTGGTTCAAGCATTTCAGAAAGGTGGATCTTTTTTTAACAAACATACCTTTTTGTCTTATTGTTTACATTAATATCCGTGTTCTGCTTTTTCCAATTTTTCCCGCGTTGGGCATGAAAACTCGCGCAACGCGCGTGCTCTGCTAGTTAGTATATATATTCGTTATATTAGTGTATATTAGTTATATTAGTTATATTCACAATATACATATAACTATGTAATTAAAACATTTAATTATATTACTATGTACTTTACTCCTTTATTATTATTATTATTATTATATTGTAGAACTTTCAAGCCAAAGACATTTTCATGAATGATAACAATGGCAAGACATTCAAATTTGAGCATGCGTGGCGTGTCCTCCAAGTGTGTCCGAAGTGGTACCAACAATACGAAGCTCCGGTATCCTTCTCCCGGCCAATATCGTCTCCACAATCGCACGATTCGCCCACACTCGGAGGTAGTGCTAGCTCTCCCTCGGATGGAGAGCCACTTCAACGTCCTGAAGGCCGGGACAAGCAAAAGGCCAAAAGAAGTGGAAAGGCAAAGGTGTCCAAGTTAGATCCAATGATGACGCAATGTTTACAAGAAATGATTGAGCAAGGCAGAGAACAAGCTTCAAGAAGAGCTAAGCGTGATGAGCTTCAACACAAAGCCGTAGAGTCGGAGATTACGAGAAACCAGTATGACTTACTAGCTGCGGACCTTTCAAAGTTTTCACCGAGGAAGCAAAGGTGGATTAAGCAAAAACAAGATGAAATAATGGGGTATTCTCAAAATTCCTCAAGTGATGTTCCCGACACTCCTGCAGAAGAAGTGTACCGTCCCCACTTTGATTTCTAGTTATTATGTTTTGTTGTTTTTATTTTGTATTGTGTTGTAAGTTGAATTTCACATATGTTTCACTTTTAAATTCCATGTTTTGTTATTTTAATTTATTCAATGTGTTATTATTTTAATTATGTGTGCTTATTTAATGTTCACGTTTATTTTTATTTAAATTAAATTTATTTTAGTGACTTATAAGTTTGTCACATTATTAAGTAATATTCTAAAAAGATAGAAGTAATTTACACAAACGCGAATATTTTATTAAGACACATAAAAGTTCCAGAAATACATAAAGTTTTTCGGAAAAACATAAACAGTACAACTACGAAGTTAACACTAGTAAATGAAATACATGAAACACAACTAGATTAAGAAAACACATAAATATTTAGGGGAAGCAAATAAACTACATTCCATTTCCATGGTGCATCCACAGATGGTTTATGAGATCACTTTTAAGCGATGTGTGCACCGAGGAGTCTCTAATTCGATTGTGGCGCATCATATATTGACTCAAGGTCGGACCATCATGGTTAAGATCCAATTCAACAATACCACCAATATAGTCATAGTCTTCACGGTAGTCTTGTTGGGTTGGTTCTTCATCATTCTCTTCATATTCATCTTCCACTATCATGTTGTGCAGTATAATGCATGCCAGCATTATATCACCTAATGTGCGTATGTCGTGCAACCGTGCAGGACCTCGCACAATAGCCCACCTAGCTTGTAAAATTCCAAATGCTCTTTCAACATCCTTACGAAAAGCCTCTTGCATTGAAGCAAAAAGCTTTTTCTTAGGAGTGTCTGGATGACTTATTGTCTTAACAAAAGTTCCCCAACTTGGGTAAATCCCATCAGCTAAATAATAACATTGATTATATAGCTTACCATCCACGCGGAATTGTACCTGAGGGGCAGATCCATTTACAACAGCATCAAAGACTGGAGAGCTTGCAAGAGTGTTGAGGTCATTGTTGGAACCGGCTGTGCCAAAAAATGCATGCCACATATGAGTATCATAAGAAGCAACTGCTTCGAGAACAATTGTTGGTTTTCTTTTGTACCCGGTGTACTGGCCGGCCCAAGATGTAGGACAGTTTTTCCACTCCCAGTGCATGCAATCAATGGACCCAATCATCCCGGGAAAGCCTCTTTTCGAGGCCTTTTCAAGAAGACGATGCAGATCTCCGGGGTTAGGGGTTCGTAGGTACCAAGAACCATACACACTAATAACTGCCCTACAAAATTTTTTCATGCACAAAAGTGTAGTTGTCTCACTCAAACGACATAACTGATCTAATGAATCAGCCGAGCAACCATTGGCGAGCATAAATATCGCACTAGTGAGTTTTTGATTAGGAGAAAGAGATACCTTGTTTGCTGCATCTATTGTACTTACAAAATAGGGATCGAAAGCCATGACATCTTTCATGATTCGATCAAATAGAGCCGGTTGCATGCGATAACGACGACGGAAGATACGTGCATTGTAGGTGGGATTTGGATTCCAGTAATCATCCATCAACAAACGGTGTCCAGCTTCCCGACCACGGTCTATGTAATCACGACTACTATTGGAGCTTGTTGCAACCAAAGAAGCCATCAAAGCCATGCGCATGCGGTCGGAATAAGCTTCTTCATCTTCATCTTCATTAATGAATTTGTAAAATGCGGGAAAAGAACTCATGATATTTTTGGCCTTGTTGAAAATGGGAGAAGTAAAGATGAGGTGTGTGATTCCAATGTCAAGTGAGGCCATGTATTTATAGTAATATAGTTCTTTGATGTTCACACCAAGTGGAGGATACATCCAAATTAATATGTTTGGACCAAGTGGAGAATAGCATCCAATGTGGTATGGAAGATTACACATGGTGAAAAAGAGAATCCAATGTCATATAATGTGCTATGAAAGGACACAAATAATGGAAAAGAGAATCCAATGTGATTTGAAAAGATACAACAAGTTGAGAAGGGAATCCAATGTGTTATGGATGGACACAAAGTTGAGAAGAGAATCCAATGCTCTAAATGTGTTGAAAATCACTCAGGAAAAAACGTAAAAAAAAATAATAATGAAATTTATTTTTTTTACATCGAAATGTGTCTTTTTTATTTTATGATTAATCAGAGAAAAAATTAAAAGGAAAACATTAATTATAATAATTTAATTAATGTTTTACTAAATTGATATGTAAAAAAATGTGCAGAGTGTATTTTATTGACGGTACTGGAATGCAGAGAATAGGAGTCAAAACACTGTTTTCATATCGACGGAGTCCATTTTTGACATTTGGACTCTTGCACCACTCCAAATGGTCTAATACCTCACCACTCCATTTGGTCTAAAGGCCTGGAGGATAAAGATAAGCTGAGCTATCCAAGCATTTTCGGATTTCACATAAGAGGTTCTAGATCCATCAGAACAACGACAAAATGCTCGAGACAACTTGAATCATACTATTATAAATACAAGCTAGCCCTATTGTAAAAGCGCACACACTTCATCCGCAAAATACTGAATTTACTCAAGATTATATCATTCATGTTTTATATCATTCTTGTATTTGATCTCACGTATTCTATACATTTCTTTCAAGAAAATGGTAGTTTACGCAAATTAGCTTAAACAAATTGGCGCTCACATGGAACCACACCATGTTCTCGTAGGCGATCTCAAGTATTCTATACATTTCTTTTATATTCAATACTTAACTGTTGGTATTTTGGCGTTTTGGAACCTTAACTCTTAAATGAATCAAATCAGTACCATAACTTTATATAGATTTTATTCAAATTTGTGGCCAAAAAACTCTTCATGGCGATCAAAATTCTCTGTGTAGAGTCACCCAATAGTGATCATACAGACAAAAATAAGGTGAAATAGACTTTACAAATAGAATTCTGGCCGCCACATGTGATTTTTTGGTCGGAAATTTGAATAATATTACAAGTTGTAACATTTATGCATAGTTTAAGTACTGTTTTGATTCATTTAAGAGTTAAGGTACCAAAATGCAATAATACTAATAGTTAAAGTACCATTTATGCATTGGGAAAAATAATTAAAATACCCCAAACTTTGAAGAAAGTGTGAGATAAACACCCAAACTTTCATATGTAATTTAAATACCCCAAACTTTATATAAAAAGTTATTTTACAACCATGGCCATATATTATTTTTTTCAAAAATGTAAATTTATGATGTTAATTGCATAATTTAAAATAGCAAATTAAAAATGATGCAATTATATAGAGTGGAGGTAGTATTATTTATTTTATAATGGAAGTTTAGAATGTTAATTGTATCTTCATGAATGCTAAAATATTCTAATTTATGAAATTAACTTTAAAAACTAACATTTTTTTTTACAATTATATATGACCATGGTGCTAAAATAACTTTTTATATAAAGTTTGGGGTATTTAAATTACATATGCAAGTTTGGGGTGCACCAAGGATCGGCTCTGAGCCCTTTTTTATTTGCCATAGTCATGGATGATGAACTTACAAAGTCAATTCAAGACGATATACTGTGGTGCATGATGTTTGCCGATGATATTGTATTGATTGATGAGACGCAATCAGGGGTTAAAGCAAAGTTGGAAGTACGGCGACAAACATTGGAGAACAAGAGTTTCAAACTAAGTAGGAGCAAGACAGAGTACATGGAGTGCAAGTTTGGTGGAGGTAGAAGCAGTGGTAATAGCGGAATTACTTTAGATGGTAAGGAGATACCGGTCAGCGATATGTTCCGTTATTTGGGCTCCATAATTCAGAAGGACGGTGAGTTAGATGGAGATGTATCCCATAGAATCAGAACAGGGTGGATGAAGTGGAAGAGTGCGTCAGGATTTTTATGCGATCGAGGTATGCCGACTAGACTAAAGGGTAAATTTTATAGGACATCAATTAGGCCTGCATTACTGTATGGCACGGAGTGTTGGGCGGTGAAACAATGTCACATTCAAAAGATAAGTGTGGCAGAGATGCGCATGCTGCGTTGGATGTGTGGGCATACTAGAAAGGACCGTGTGAGGAATGACACAATTAGACAAAGGGTGGGAGTAGCACCTATTGAAGAGAAGATGCGGGAGTCATGCCTACGGTGGTTTGGTCATGTGCATAGAAGACCGAGTGATGCACCTGTCAGACGAGTTGAGATGTGTGGAGAAGAGGTAGGGAAGAGAGGGAGAGGAAGGCCCAAACAGACGTGGGTTAGGGGAGTCAGAAGTGATATGCTTCTTCTTGAATTGGATGAGGGTATGGCTTTGGAGAGAGCAAAATGGAGGGTGAGTATTCGTGTGGAGGAGTGATCTTGTATCATCTTTTCCCCTCTCTTTTTTCTTCTTTTTTCGTTTTCTTTTATATTTTTATCCTTATATATAAATATTACTTTATCCTTTTTATTTGATCTTTTATATGTATATTCGTCTCTTTTATATTATCTTTTTCTATAATAGCTTATCTTTTTTATCTTTATTTTCCTTTGGGAAAAGGTGCAAATAGACCCATGTACTAACAAAAAAAAAGGTCAAATAAGCCCTTATTTAGGAGGCTCTGTCCGGCCGTCGTCATTTGGGGTGGTTTCGGTCGAATTTTTTGATGATTTTTTTTGAGCATCTTATTCATCAAGTCTAGTTTACTCATACCAAATTTCAGCTAAAACTTCGATCGGGAAGGCATTCAAATGAATTCTTGAAGATAATTGCGCAGTTATGTTCAAGAATTCATTTGAATGCCTTCCCGATCGAAGTTTTAGCTGAAATTTGGTATGAGTAAACTAGACTTGATGAATAAAAAAAATTCATCAAAAAATTCCACCGGGAACCACCTCAAATGATGACGGCCAGACAGCACCTCCTAAATAAGGACTTATTTGACCCTTTTTGGTTAGTACATGAGCTTATTTGCACCTTTTCCATTTTCTTTCTTTTCCTTTTGGTGATATCATATATCGATTCATGTTAGCCGAACCCAATATCATTTGGGACTAAGACTTGGATGTTGTTGTTGTATGCAAGTTTGGGGTGCTTACCTCACACCCCTTCAAAGTTTGGAGTATTTTAATTATTTTTTCCTTATCCATTTCGCTCATACTACTCCGTCCCATAATGATTGTCCACTTTCAATTTGGCACAATTATTAATAAAGTGGTTGAAAAGTAAAAGTTGTGGTTGAGATTTGAGTATAATAAAGTGAATTGATAAGAACCACATATTTCATCCAAAAAAGGAAACAAGACATTCATTTTGGGACAACCCAAAAAGGAAAGTAGGGCAACCAAAATGGGACGGAGGGAGTACTAAACTGTTTTAGCTCAAACAATTTGGCGCCCACATGGCACCAGGGCACCACATATAGAATATACGATATAGAATATACGGAGTATGTAATAATATACGGAGTATAATTAACTGGCGAAAACATGGAACCACACCACCACCAACTGGACCGGAAGTCCGGAACTTATCAAGTAGACTGGAACTAAATCAAGCTGCCGAGATACACTCCTAATTTGGTTTGGTTCCGATCAAAAACCAAAACGGAAATTGTCCTAAATAGGACTAAAAAGTTTCTAAAAAGCACAAATAGGACTACTATTTTTAAAATTCCCTAAATAGGATTAAACATTGATTTTCTACCCTAAATACCCCTAAGAGTATTAATTCATAATGAAATGCTTTAATTCATAATAAAATCACAAAAAACGTAAAAAAATATTTAAAAAACGTAAAAAAATTAAAAAAAAATTATAAAACATTTATAAAATAAAAAATTTAATTTTTTATTTTTTTAATTTTTTTAAAAAAATAATAAAAAATAGTAAAAACCCATAAAAAATGAAAAAAATTATGGATACCTTTCTCACCGCCTCCCGCCGCCTCCCAGCACCACCACCTCCGATTGGTGAAATTTCTTCCACTTTTGGTAAAAAAATGCCATATTTTTCTGAAAATGCCAAAAAGATGGCATAATTACTCTTCAATATGCCAACATTTTCATTGATTATGCCATCATTATGGCATTATTTAAAATGTTGGCATATTTTTGTCCGGTGATGGGAGATGGTGGTGTTGGGGGTGGCAGGGGTGGTAATGTTTTTTTTTTAATTTTATGATTTTTTTTATTTATTTTTTATTTATTTTTTAAAAAATATTTTTTATTTTTTTTAAAAAAATATTTTTTATTTTTTTTAAAAAAATATTTTTATTAATTTTCTATTATTTTTTTTTTACGATTTTTAGTATTTTTTTCGATTTTTATTAATTTTTTTATGATTTTATTATTAATTAAAACATTTCACAAGTTACAAGGGTATATTTGTCCAAACACACATAAATAGTCCTATTAAGGGAATTTAAAAAATGTAGTCCTATTTGTGCAATTTTTCCACTTTTTAGTCCTATTTAGGGAATTCACTCAAACCAAAATTACATGACAACATTTCCTAACCGAACGGTCCAAGCTCAGTCCCATTCCATTTTGGAACTGAATATAATAGTACTCTATATTTAATTTAAGATCGTCAATTAGTTTAGCTTGTACCAGCAGAATAAGAGCCCGTTTGGTAGCACTAAAATCGGCTGGTTTGACTGATTCTGCTGAAATTTATGAAGTTCTGGCTGAAGTAACTGCATTGGCTAATTCTGCTGATTTAAGAAAAATTATTTTTAAAATATATTTTATTAATA